TCTATCTATCTATCTATCTATTTATCTATCTATCTATCTATCTATCTCTATCTATCCATCTATCCATCTATCCATCTATCTATCTATCTATCTAATCTCTCGCTCTCGCTCTCGCTCTCGCTCTCTCACGCTCAACAAATTCTTTTCGCTCGATGCGTTCACGAGACTTTGGCCGCTATTTAAGGAAAAGACGCGTATCGCTCCCCACCCCGCGCCCTTTCTAAATCCTACGACGAGCAAGCTATTTCAGATCTCTGATGCTAATAAACAGTAATTGTGCCGAATGTACAAACAGCCTCGGTAATTGTCAATTGCGATTAGATTCATAATCAATGATTGATAATAAATAGCGGGACTTCGCCACGCGAGCCTCGTTAATTGCGCGTAATCGACTTGCAGTTCCTTAAATTCCATGTGCGAGCTTCGAATGCCGGATCGCCCCACGTATTGCAATAATTCTCCAGACCAACAACTGATCATCCCAACTAACTATTTGTTTGTGCAGGTGATCCATGCTTAAAGTCACCATGGCCTGAATGCGAGATGGGAAAATATTATAAAAAGAAGTGGGAACACTACGATTCGATGCGCGAACGCAAGCGGGAACCGCCTTATTGCGTTCCATTCGAGTACGACTTGACGCGACGATACGTGACAAAGTAAATGTCGAAAATGGCGGAAAACCTATTGGCAAAGTGCAGACGTATCGTATTGAGGTTGGAGAGGTCGATATGGGATGAGCTCCACGGAGGCGCGGCACTATTGAGTCAACGATCCGAAAAGGCTGCTGCAGCACCCGATTTATGCGCACACGGATCGAAGAAAAAATTATAGTCTCGAGCCCAAACTCACCCCCCCCCCCAACACTCTCCATGGCCTTAAAAGGGAAATGGGATAGAAAGGCTTTTATCGACATTTCGTTTTTGCGAGTCGTAATGATGTAATCGATTTGTAAGACTTGTGTGACAGCGATAGTCGTGACAAATGACTTTTGACAAAAAAAAAACAAGAAAAAAACAAAAACAAAAAGAAAAAGAAAAGAGAAAAAAAAGAAAACGAAAAAAGAGGAAAATATAATGCAACGTACAAAAACAATTTTAAATGTGTAAAAAGTCTACACTTAAAAAAGAAAAATAAATAAAAAAAAATTGTATACTATTGACAAACGTGATAAATAAACCAACGTTACTATAATTAGTAAATTTATTGTTTTCAATCACAGACATTATGAACCAATAAGAGAATAATAATAATTTAAAGAAAATTGATGAGAAAGAAATAAAATTTCATAATAACATACTTGTAATCGTTTCGTCAGACGGACACAAATGAATTAAGAGATGAATAATGAAAGAATGCAAAAATTGCTCTTCTCGAATGTGCCCTGAATCATTGATAAAAGAGATAAAACAAATTGTCCGTTCATAACTTGACTAATAGGAAATGTGCGCTATTATTAAAAGCACCGTCGACCTTGGCTATTCTCCAAACATTTATAGGAGAGCGACAAAAAGTACCTTTTACTTATTGAATTTCAATTTTTCACTCTATTCTATTATCTGTATATTTTTTTTGCATTTAACGTATTATTACGTATCGGACAAACCTCATGAATTGGCAATTTTTTTCATTTTTTTCTTCTTTTTTTTCTTTTATATTATTTTTATATAAAACTTCATACGTGTTTAATATTATAAGATATATAATAACAACAACAACAACATTAATAATGATAATAATCAGTCGGGGTTTCGTAGGAATAGAATGGGTACGTCGTAGCTCTATGAAAGTTCTAATCGGCAGCGTTACGACCGAGTCATCCAAATTACAATTATCGGCAAAAATGCTCCCGCGATTATCAATTTTACATGACAATTGCATGGGAAAATGTACGACGACATTTTGTCCTCGATGTCATCGCGTCGACGCTACATACACATTAGAGGCACATAAGTATCGAATACCAGTTGATGGGCGCTCCTTTTTCCAATATCATTATGTCCGAGTTCCAGCCATACGTACGTACAAACACATAATAATTGCCCTTCAGAGCACAGTGAGCAATGTTTTGCTAAAAAATGTATTAATTAGCAACCGACTCGAATGCCCGCGCCCAATAATTCATCTACATTCCTTTCATAATTGCAGTATCGATGCGCTTAGAATGCGTAAGGCAATTAACGAACAGTCGATTAAACCTCCTAGTCGTAAGAATACGTCACATTGTAAATGGCGCTTAAATACTTATTAGCAGTTTTCATTAGCCAGTCTATAGTCGATAGTCGATAGTCGATAGTGCGTAGCCGATCCCCCCCAACAAATAATTGCATCCACATCGGCACATGCCACAGGAGCTTATAAAGAGACGTCGAAGTTGTCATATTCCCCCAGCCATCCCCCAACTTGGGCACTTTGCGCAGATCGTACGTCCATGCGAATGCTCCAACGTTAGATCTCATTATTAGAATAAAGTTTTCGTAAATCGCAGGGAAGCCCGCCCACAACGCCGTCGCAAGCACGTGCACTTCCTCCGTCCGAGAATAGCATTCGGAAAGCGTGAATTAAAATAATCTTAGAGCTGCGGCCGACGGAAAGTGCGCGCGTTACCGAGGAGGCCGAGGAGCGACTCCAAAATTAGACGTACCCGCGTCGTCAGACCAAAAGCGTCGTCGCGACGTTCTCCTCCTCCACAGTCCAGAGTGTCGAGAGTCGACTGCCGACTGCCGACTGCCGACTGCCGACTACCGACTACCGACTACCGATCGCTGACCACCGACCACCTACCACCAATCACCTACCATCTACCACCTACCACCTACCACCTACCACCTACCACCTACCACCAATCACCTACCACCAATCACCTACCATATACCATCTACCATCTACCATCTACCAGCTATCGCGTAGGCGACGGATCTACGAGATGAATTAGAAACAAGGCCCCGTCGAATGGTAGCCCGACTGGGGCACATAATAGCCCCGGCCTAGGTGCAAGCGGACAGGAAGTAACGGTACGGCTTGTACCCAACGATCGCCGTGCGACTTCCGGCGAGAACCGGCAGCCGGGGGATTTGCATGGCCGTCCACTCGGAGCTAAGCGATCTCGTTACGTTCAGCAGCGCCAACCAAGTCCATTCCCGAGTGCCGTGCGTGCTCTCTTAAATCTCAAGCTCTTAATTATGCGCGGGGAAAAGCAGGTTCGTAAATCTTGCCCTTCGCCTTTTTATTAGACTCGGATCTTCCCGGCGACTGGTACAATCGCGGCACATTTTTCACGTTTTCGCTCGCTCGCTCGTTATATGGCTTGCGAGGCTCCTTTAAGGGCTTCAAATAATGAAGTTACGAGCTCGTTAATCGGCGCATAATGGAGAATGAAATTATTCGCGCGTTTGGTTCGTCGATGGTTTAATGGGATGGTTAAGAATAATCGGTCCTCGCGATAATGAGTTTTTCGAAAAGTGTGGAATTTTTCGCGAGGCTCGCGAGACTTGCTAACGCGATCGAATGAACGAGGAGGTTCTGGTGCAATGGAAATCTCCTATTGCAATTCCGTTGATGATGGAATTGCCGTGCTGGGCTTGAATGGAACGTAATATTGAAATTCAACGCTGATTTATTATTAAAAACAAACAAACAAACAAACAACAACAACAACAACAACAACAACAACAACAACAAC